GGTGCTCCATGGATGTCTCTATTCCCAGGATCATCATCCAAGGGTGTCCCTCTCCCCAGGGGCATGATTAAGGGGTGGCCTTGTTCCCATAGGGTGGTCCAGGGGTGTCTCCTGTCACCCTGGAGCGTTTTAGGGGTGTCCTGTCCCTGTAATGGCTTATCCAAGGCTGTCTTTGTCCCAGAAAGGTTATCTTTGGAGTGTCCCTGTTCCAGGAGCATCACCCAGGGGTGTTCCCTGTGCCCAGAAGCATCATCCAGTGGTGTCCCTGTGCCCCAGAGGCTCATCTGGGGGACCAGGGCTGCTCAGGGGTGCTCAGATCACCTCATGGTGACATGAAGCAGGGTGGGTGTTGAACCCCCCTACCTGCTCCTGTGCCCCACAGGAACTCTCTGGCTTCACCCTGGACCAAGTGGCTTTTGAGGACGGCAAAGGGAAGTGCCCCTATGACCCCACCAAGGGACACACCGGCCTCATCGTGGGTAAGTGGCACTGCTGGGGCCAGCGGGGGGGTCCCACCCCAGCCCCTGTCCCCTTCCTAACCCTGTTCCTCGCAGACGGGGAGCTCTACTCAGCCACCTTCAACAACTTCCTGGGCACGGAGCCCGTCATCCTCCGCAACCTGGGCCCCCACTACTCCATGAAGACCGAGTATCTCACCTCCTGGTTGAACGGTAGGGCTGGGGGGGACATGGGGGGGGAGGACTGCATGGACACCCCCAACCCGTGGCATGGGGTTGATGTCCCTTTTCCACCACAGAGCCCCACTTTGTGGCCTCAGCGTACGTGCAGGAGAGCGCGGCCAGCGCCACCGGCGACGATGACAAAGTTTACTTCTTCTTCAGCGAGCGCGCGGTGGAGTACGACTGCTACGCCGAGCAAGTGGTGGCCCGCGTGGCCCGGGTCTGCAAGGTACAGGGAGGGGACACCGGGGCGAGGGACGGCGTCCTGGTGTGGCTTCACCCTGCGGTGACACCGGTTGGGTGCGCAGGGGGACGTCGGCGGGGCCCGCACGCTGCAGAAGAAGTGGACAACGTTCTTGAAGGCCCGTTTGGTGTGTTCAGCCCCCGAGCAGCAGCTCCACTTCAACCGCCTCCAGGCGGTGTTCACCCTGCCCGGGGATGAGTGGCAGGACACCACCTTTTTTGGGGTCTTCCAGGCCCGCTGGTGAGTCCATGGGGAGGTGGCATCAGCCCCAGAACTGGCGGTGGGTCCGTGGGGAGGTGGCATCAGCCCCAGAACTGGCGGTGGGTCCATGGGGAGGTGGCATCAACCCCAGAACTGGCGGTGGGTCCATGGGGAGGTGGCATCAGCCCCAGAACTGGTGGCTCCCCTCCATCCCGCCCTGTTGCTTGCAGGGGGGACGTGGATGTTTCAGCCATTTGCCGGTACCACATCCTGGAGGTGAAGAAGGCATTCGAGGGCCCCTACAAGGAATACCGGGAGCAGGCGCAGAAGTGGGGCCGGTACTCAGATGAGGTGCCAAGTCCCCGTCCCGGCGCGGTGAGTGCCAGTACTGGCAGTGGGGAGGGAGATGGGGTACGGATACAGTCCCTCAGTGACGGTGACCTCGGTCCCACAGTGCATCACGGACTGGCACCGCCAGAACGGCTTCGCCAGCTCCCTCGAGCTGCCCGACAACACCCTCAACTTCGCCAAGAAGCACCCGCTCATGGACGAGCCCATCCTGCCACACCGTGGCCGCCCGCTGCTGCTCAAGAAGGACTCCAACTTCACCCAGCTCGTGGTGGACCGAGTGGCCGGGCTGGACGGTGCCATCTACGAGGTGCTCTTCATCGGCACGGGTAGGTGCCGGGCTGAGGGGGAGCCACCACGGGAAGGTCCCGGTGTGGGAATGTCCCTCACAGCCCGCTGGGACCCGCAGGTGATGGCTGGGTGCACAAGGCGCTGAACCTGGGCACTCGCATCCATCTGGTTGAGGAGCTGCAGGTATTCGAGCCGGCGCAGCCTGTGGAGAGCCTGGTGCTGGCTGGACGGAAGGTGAGAGGTGCCCCGGGGCAGGGGACGGTGTCCGGGTGTCACCTCGGGTGTCACCTCACCCCTTCTCCTACCCTCGCAGAAGCTGCTCTTCGCTGGCTCCCGGTTCCAGTTAGCCCAGTTGCCGCTGGCCGATTGCAGCCGGTACCAGTCGTGCACCGACTGCGTCCTCGCCCGGGATCCCTACTGCGCCTGGAGCCGCAACGCCAGCCTCTGCGTGCGCACTGACGGCCTCAACGGGTACAGGGGGTCCCTGTGGGGATGGGGGGACACCCGCTGTGCCACAGGGACCCCCTTCACTTCCACCACCTCCTCCCGCAGGTCCCAACTGGTCCAGGACGTGCTGAGCTCCGACACCCGTGCCTGCACCCTGCCTCAGGTGGCCAAGCAAGGTGAGACCGCGGCAATGCCGCGCGGGGCTGGGGTCCTCCCTGGCTTTTTGCCTCCCCTCCTGACCCTGCGCCGCTCTCCCACAGGCTCCATCACCCCCAAAAACGTGACAGTGGTGGCGGGCACCGACCTGGTTCTCACGTGCCGCTTGGGCTCCAACCTGGCACAGGCGCTGTGGACCTTCGAGGGCCGGGCGCTGCCGGCCGAGCAGGCGCTGGTGCTGCACGACACCCGCCTGCGGGCGCTGGTGGTGCCGGGAGCAGGGGCTCAGCACAGCGGCACGTACCGGTGCTTCTCGGAGGAGCAGGGTGCCCGCCTGGGCGGGGAGGTGTACCGGGTGGTGGTGCTGGCCGGGGCCGGGGTACCCCTGGAGACGAGGGCGCCGCTGGAGAGCCTAGGGCTGGTGTGGGTGGTGGCCGTGTGCCTGGGCGCGCTGTGCCTGGTGCTGGTGCTCGTGGTGTTCTCGCTGTGGCGGCGGCTGCGGGAGGAGCTGGGGAAAGGCACCAAAGCCATCGAGAGCACCCTGGTGTACCCCATCGAGCTGCCCAAGGAGCCCCCCAGTCCCCGCTTCGTCCCCAGCGCCGCGTCCGACTCAGATGAGAAGCTCTGGGACCCGGCCAGTTACTACTATTCGGACGGCTCGCTCAAAATCGTGCCGGGTCACGCCACGTGCCGCAACGGCGGCCCCCCCGGTGCCACCTCGCCACCAAGCGGCATCCCTGGGCAGCCCCTTCACTCACCCACCCGCATCCACCTTGGTCCCCTGCGTGGTTCCTCCTCCAACGGCTACATCCGCCTGGCGCTGGGTGCCGAGGAGCGGCCGCCCTGCGCCGACCTGGCCGAGGAGCTGCGGCGCAAGCTGCAGCAGCGCCAGCCCCTGCCCGACTCCAACCCTGAGGAGTCGTCGGTCTGAGCAGCCGGTGGCCGCCGAGCAGCTGTACCTACCTCAGGGGCACCCACTGCGGGGACCCCGGCGCTGGCAACCCACTGTAGGGACCAACGCCTGGGCACCAGCACCCGCCTTGGGGCTGCAGTGTGGGCGCTGGTGCCCAGTGTAGGGATGCCGGTGCTGGTACCTGACTTGGGAACTGCCATGTTGGCACTCACCATGTGGATGGGACTCTCACTGCAATGCTGGTACCGGTCTTGGGCACTGCCACCCCGGCACCTGCCTTGGGGCAGTGGCACCGTGACACCCGTCTTGGGCCACCAGAGCTGCTCTTGGTCACCACGTCCGCCTTCGGTACCGTGTCCCAAGCAAGGGACTGACCTTTGGGGACTGCCACCAGCCTTGGGGACCACTGCCCCCCCCGGGTGCCATGTCCCACCCTGGGCAGTGGCTGCGGGATGACTTTTTGGGATGATTTAAGAACCGATTGGGTTTTTCTTCCAGAGAATTTTTCTAATGCCCCCCCTCCTCACACCTCTCCCCCCCCCAGGGCTTCGTACCCCTTTGGCCCTGGTTGTAAATACCCTCCCCCACCCCAGCCTGCCACCCCCCTGCACGCTGCCCGCTCGGGCCCCTTTTGTATAACCCCCCCACCCCCAGTGTAATTTATTTGTTACCAAAATATATTTATTTGCTGTAAATACGTGAGTATTTTTATATTAATAATAAAAAGGAGTAAAAAAAAACCCCAACCATCAGCACATCTTGAAAGTGAAGCCGGGGGGGGGGGGGGGGGAAGGTGCGGGGAGGGCTCTGGGCCCCCCCCAGCCACTGAGCTCATGGAAAAAAGCCGCGCTCGGGGCTATAAAAGGGCATCGCGGTGCCGTTCCCAGGGCGGGGGGGGGTAAGAGCGGAGGCTTGGCCCCATGCCCGTGTGTCCCGTCCCGTGTCCCCCCCCCGGATGCCGGGGGTCAGTGCGGGGTCCCCAGGGAGGGCCTGCCGGGAAGCAGGGCGGAAACGGCACCCGGGGTCCTGGGGGGGGGGGGTGCTCCGGGAGCGGGGCCAGCGCTGCCCGGGCCGTGGGAACCCGGGGGGGGGGGGGCAGAGCCGCCATGGGATCCGAGGGGGGAGCACAGCCCAGCGCTAGCGCGCCCCTAACGGCGGCGACGGGGCCGAAATGGACCCAAGAGCTCGGGGCGTGGCTTCGTTCGGCTTCCCCCGACTGCCCTCGGCTCTTTCCGGCTCCCCTCGATCCCCTTCAGCCCTTCCCTGAGCTCCCCTCGGCTCTTCCCGTCTCCCCTCAGCCCCCTTCGGCTCTCTCCGCCTTCCCTCGGTCCCTTCGGCTCTTTCCGCCTTCCCTCGGCTCCCTTCGGCTCTTTCCGGCTTCCCTCGGCTGCCTTCAGCCCTTCCCTGAGCTCCCCTCGGCTCTTCCCGTCTCCCCTAAGCCCCCTTCGGCTCTTTCCGCCTTCCCTCGGCTCCCCTCGGCTCTCTCCGCCTTCCCTCGGTCCCTTCGGCTCTTTCCGGCTTCCCTCGGCTGCCTTCAGCCCTTCCCTGAGCTCCCCTCGGCTCTTCCCGTCTCCCCTAAGCCCCCTTCGGCTCTTTCCGCCTTCCCTCGGGTCTCTCCGCCTTCCCTCGGTCCCTTCGGCTCTTTCCGGCTTCCCTCGGCTCCCTTCAGCCCTTCCCTGAGCTCCCCTCGGCTCTTTCCGCCTTCCCTCGACCCCCCTTTCAGCCCTTCCCTCGGCTCCCTTCGGCTCTTTCCGCCTTCCCCCGGCTCCCTTCGGTCTCCCCCGGCCCTGGCGATGGCTGCGGGCCGCCGCTCGCCGCCGGGTCCCTGCTGCCCGTCGCGGGTGGCGGTGCCGAGCGCACACCAGAGCCTGCCCGAGATGGACTTCGAGCGGGGTCGGGTGTGGAGCGGGACGGGGGGCTGAGGGCAGGGGCATGCTCCGAACCTCGCCTGACCCGGTGCCCGCTGCCCGCAGGGATCTGGGCCGCGGCGCGGGACGGGGACGAGACCCGAGTGCGGCAGCTGCTGGATCGGCGCGGGGAGCCCGGCCAGACCGACCTGGCGGGGTACACAGCGCTGGTACGGGGCGAGGAACACGGGCGGGGAGGCGGGGGGGGGCGGCGGTACGAGCATCCCGACCGCCGTGCCCACCGTCCTACCGCCCGCAGCACTACGCCAGCCGCAACGGGCACCTGGGGGTTTGCCGGCTGCTGCTGCAGCGCGGAGCCTGCTGCGACGCCCGTACCCCCGGCGGGGCCACCCCGCTGCACCGCGCCAGCTTCTGCGGACACCTCGCTATCGCCCGGCTCCTGCTGGCCCACGGCGCTGACCCCGCTGCTGCCGATGGGGACGGCCGCACCAGCCTGCACAAGGTGGGGCGATGGGGCCGAGGCGGGGTGGGGTGGGGGGGTGTCCCCGGTGCTGTCACCCACACCGTGTCACCCGCAGGCGGCCGAGCAAGGCCACCGGGAGCTGTGTGCGCTGCTCCTGCAGCACAGCCCGGCGCTGGCCGGCGTCGCCGATGCCAAAGGACGGCGGCCTCGGGACATGGCTCACCCGGCGGTGCGGGACCTGCTGGGTACCTGAGCGGGGACACGGGAGCCGCCGCGGGACTCCTCTCCATGGATAAACAGCGCCTGCGGCACCCAACGCTGTGTCCGTGTCCGTGCCTCTGTCCCTGGTGTCCGGAGCCATTTTTAGCTGTTCCCCCCTCCGCTCCTCCTCAGCCCCACCGGGGGGAGGCGGCCACAACCAGCTCGGTGCCGTGGGGCACCCCCTACCTGCGGGCGAAGGGGCAATGGCGGCGCCCCGCAGCCGCCACCGAGCTCCTCTATGTGGGGACTGCAGCGCCCCAGCGCAACGCCCCGCCCACCCCCTTCCGGACAACCAATCAGTGACCGCTTCACCGCACATCGCTCCCGCCCTCCCCGCCCCGCAGCCAATCACCGCCCACAGCGCGTCCCGCCCCTCCGCCTTTCCTCCTGACTGCCAATCGCCATTCGCCCCACCTCAGGCAGTGAGGCCAATCACCGCCCCAGGGAGGCGGGGCCTTAGCTCCGCGCTGTAAACAACAGCGGGGGCAGATTTAAAGGGGCCGCGTCACCTAAAGGCGGCGATCGCCGTAGCTCCCTCCCGGTAACCGGGACCTCCCGTAGCCCCCCACCACCCCACCGTTAAGCACGGAGGAGACCGACGTACAGAGAGAGCCTTTTATTACCCCCAAAATCACCCCCAAAACCCCATCAGGTAGAATTCCACAGTGGGTATCACAACCGGGATACGGGGGGGGGGGGAACGGGACACCCCAAATATACAAATCAAAGCTAATATGGAAAATAAATAGGAATTCACGGGGGGGTGGGGTTTGCATAGAGGAAGATTTAATAAAAAAGGGTCCTTTTTTTTTGTCTTGTTTATTATTATTAATTATTATTATTAATTATTATTCATAATTATTATTATTTCGATCATCGCCCCCCGCGGGCCCCCGGATCCGAGCATCGAGATGGAATTAACAACAGTGATTCACCTTCTCCTAATAACTTACACAGGGCACCCAGGGAACTTGTGCTTTTGGGGTGGGGGGCCACGTCTCCTTCCCCCCCCCCCCTCTATGGGGCACCAGGTCCCCAGGCCCAACCCTGAGGGCATCCATGGGTCTGGGGGTCCCCCCTGGTGTGGGGGGGCACACAGGATGCTGGCCCCCTCCTGCTTGTACAACTTTGGTCACTAGCTTTGTGCCCCCGGCCCCACGTCCCACCCCGAGACACCCCATGGAGCTGGGGGGGCAAGGGGAGGGAAGGCACCAAAACCACCCCCTTGGAGGGACACACACACACACACACACACACACACACACATATAATGACGACAAGGACCCGGCGCTGCCGTCCTCAGTGCGCTCGTGACACCGGTGAGTGGCAGAGGGGGGGGGGTGTTCAACTCTGAGCCGTGGTGGTGGTGGCGGCTTTGCACCGGCGACCATCCCCGTGGCCTCAGGCCCGATGCCGACCTCTCTCCGCTGCCACGTCCTCGCCGTCTCCCGGGCCAGCAGGAAAGGGGAACGACGGGCACGGAGAAGGATGAGATGCCACCATCGTGTCACATGCCAGGTGTCCCCCCTTCCCCCATATAAAAACCACGGCAGAGGGGCCGGGATGGCCACGGCAGAGCCCCCCCAACCCCGAGACCTGAAGCTCCCTGAGCTGAACGAGGGTTTTTGTGCCATCCTGGAGATGGATCACAAAAGAAACCAGCCTGGAAAAGCAGCAGCAGATCCCAGCTCCGTTTACCACCACGGTGCCACCAAGGGTTCAACCAGGCTTCTCCGGGCGCCCCGGCACGGTGTCACCTACTTAGGAAGAAAAGGGTCCCCTAAAACCGAACCCGTGCCGGTGGCGCCGGGGTCAGATGGAGTTTTCCAAGAGGCTGTGGTTGCTCCGCCGGCTCAGGCAGTTCCTCTTGTTCAGGAGGCTCGTGGTCTCGTCGGCGGTGCTGGAAGGTTCGGGTTTCTCCGGTGCATCCGTGTCTGCACCGGGGCAGTTGCTGTCGGGGGACTGGGGACAACTGTCCATGCGGGAGGCTGTCAGGGCGTTCTGGTACTCGTGGCGCATGATCTGTGGGGGCAAAGGGAGAAGGGAAGGAGTGAGGAGTGGGGCTGGACCCCCAAGAGCATCCCTGTGGGTGTCGGGCCCATCTTAAGAGCCATGGAATTAATGAGGATGGGAAAGAGCTTTAGGATCCAGTCCAACCGTTCCCATCACTGCCAAGGCCACCACTGACCCATGGCACTGAGGGTGTGTGAGCACTTGCAGGGACGGTGACTGCAGCCCTGCCCTGGGCAGCCTGTTCCAATGCCTGAGCACCCTCTGGGGCAGGAATTGTTCCTCAGCTCCATCTAAACCTGCCCTGGGGCAGCTTGAGGCCGTTTCCTCTTGTCATAGAATGGATCATGGAATGGTTTGGGTTGGAAAGGACCTTAAAGCTCCTCCAGCTCCAACCCCTGCCACGGGCAGGGACCCCTTCCACTAGAGCAGCTTGCTCCAAGCCCCTGTGTCCAACCTGGCCTTGAACACTGCCAGGGATGGGGCAGCCACAGCTTCTCTGGGCACCCTGTGCCAGCGCCTCAGCACCCTCACATAAATCACTTCTTCCTTATCTCCAACCTAAATCCCTCCCGTTTCAGTCTGAACCCATCACCCCTTGTCCCATCCCTACAGCCCCCGATGAAGAGCCCCTCTCCAGCACCCTTGCAGCCCCCTTCAGACACTGGAAGCTGCTCTGAGGTCCCCCCTGAGCCTCCTCTTCTGCAGGTTAACCCCCCCCCCACTCTCATGCCCCAGAGCCCTCACCTTGACGAACTGGAGGTCGGTGAGGGCACGGACGCTGAAGTCGGGCACGTACTGGGCGCCGGTGCTGGTGTTGAGCTGGCCGGTGCTGCCGCTGATGGGCGAGGAGATGGAGTCGGAGCGCTCGTGGTAGTTGAGGGATGCTGAGTGGTTGAGGCTGCTGACGTGGGACGGGGAGCGCATCTCTGCGGGATGGGAGGGATGGGGTCAGCCATGCCCTGCACCCCCCCACCCCGGCTCCTTGTGCCTGCCTGTAACAGGGTGCTGAGCCCCTGGTGATGCTGCCCTGGCTCCGTGCAGGGAGATCCCCATCCTGCAGGCTCCAGGGACACAGATCCCAGTGGTGACAAGGAGCGATGGGATGCGCGTCCACCCCAGTGCAGCCCTGCAGCACCGGATTTGATCCACCCAACCCTCTGCTCCCCCTTGCACCAGGGGACAGGGACCAGGACCAAGGACACTGAGTCCAAACCATTGGCTCAGTCACCCCACAAGGGTTAGGGACAAGTTGGGGTTATGGGGACAAGGTGATGTGCTCGGACACGGGGTACAGAGATGGACCAGACAACACAGAGGACAAGGTGAAGAGAAGCCTGTGGATGAAGGGGAGGGTGGCTGCAGGTCCCCCTGCCCCTCACAGTGCCCACAGATGAGTGCTGCTGCCACTGAGCACCATGAGGGTCAGTGTCGCAGCCCCTCAAGGGCAGCTCAGGGGGCACCAGTGGGGGCTCTAGCATCTATTCCCACCAGCAGCTCTAACACAGGGTGGGAGGCTCGCTCCATGCTGGCACCCAAGCGATGTGGGGGTGCTTACCGGTAGGAGAGGGGCTGATGGCCATCACCCCATAGTAGGAGAACGCTCCTGCTTCAAACTTCATGCACTCCTTGCCCGTCTCCACCTCCACCTTGCCCTGCAAGGGAGAGAAAAGGTTGGGTCCCTTAAGCCCCATCCCGCAGCACTGGGCTGGAGGAGAGACCCCAACCCCGCTGTCACTGCCTGCCCGGGGGTGAGGGCTCACACAGGGGACCCCAAGTGCGGGACAGCAGCCGGGTACCTGCAGGATGAGGGTGAAGTAGTCAGCTGCTTTGTTCTTGCAGTAGAGGAAGTGGCGCGGGGCCTTCTTGTTGCCCTCATCGAACTTCAGCTCCTGGATGACGTGGGAGTACTTGAGGAGGCGCAGGAGGATCTTCTCCGAGATGTAGGTGGGGGTGAAGAGCGTCACCTCTGAGAGCCAGAGGGGGAGGAAAGGGCTCAGAGCCATGGTCCTTGACCCTCCACAGGAACGTGCATCCCCCCCTTGTCCCTCTGCGTGGGGCCTTGGCACCTCCCTGGGGCAGAAGCCCACCCAACATAAGCTCTGGGTCCCCAGCAAGGCCGGCCCCAGCCTTGGGGACACGGGGAATGTGACCACGCTGGAGGGATGGGTACCCTCTGAGCATCACAGGCATCCCTGAGCCCTGCCCATTCCCACTCTGGGGTTGGGACAGAGGGGAGTGGGATGAGGCACAAGCACCCCGTAACTCCTGAACTACATGGTTGGAGCAACTCTTCCTTGCTGGGGGGACAGGAATGGAGCCCAGGGACACGGCAGCACACGGAGCCCACCAGGTCAGGGCTGGGGAGCTGCTGGAGCCATTGGACAGAGCCAAAGGGTGCCCTGAGCTTCAGGGGGCTCCCCCCCCAACCCCCTTTACCTGTGGAGAGGAAGCGGTGGGCGGCCAAGAGCAGCTGCGGGGAGACCTTCACCTTCTGCTCCCCAACGGGGTCCTTGAAGGCCGAGAAGTCCCGTTTGCCCTTGTGGTTGTTCACAAGCTTCCTGCTGCGGTTGTCGGCTGTGGGGAGTGGGATGTCAGCGGGATACAGTGGGATACAGCGGGATGGGAGTGGGATACAGCGGGATGTCAGTGGGATACAGCAGGATACAGTGGGACACAGCGGGATGTCAGTGGGATACAGCGGGATGGGAGTGGGATACAGCGGGATGGGAGTGGGATACAGCGGGATGTCAGTGGGATACAGCGGGATACAGCAGGATGTCAGTGGGATGCAGCGGGATGGGAGTGGGATACAGCGGGATGTCAGTGGGATACAGCGGGATACAGTGGGACTCAGCGGGATGTCAGTGGGATACAGCGGGATGGGAGTGGGATACAGCAGGATACAGCGGGATACAGCGGGATGGGAGTGGGATACAGCAGGATGTCAGCGGGATACAGCAGGATATAGTGGGATGTCAGTGGGATACAGCGGGATGTCAGCGGGTTACAGTGGGATACAGCAGGACACAGCGGGATGTCAGT